CCCACATTGAAAGTTCGGACTTCAAAGTTTTTAAATTTTAATTACAGGCCAGTAAATCCAGAGTTATGATGATATATATAAGCCACGCTTTTTTCTAAATACCGTCTTCACGTTTGTGTGTGTGTTTTTTCTAAGGACAGCACGAAAACAGTAAAGAAAGAGGAAAAAACACTTCTTTCCTATCAGTGGAAAAATGCACCATGTCGACAAATAAAAACAAAAAAAAAGTCAAAATGTGGGATTTTTTGGTTTTTGGGAATGACGGTAACGGCAGTGAGTGAGAGAGAGAGAGAATGAGTGAGAGAGAGAGAGAGAGAGAGAGTTTTTAGATGTGGGAGATTTGTGACGTTTAGTGTGGAGTGTATACTTAGTGTGGTGTGTTGTCTTGTGTAGTTGTTCTGTTGTGTAGTCGTTTCGTTTTGTGTGTCAGTGAGGGCACTAATGAATGTCACTAAGGCACATTTGCAGTGTAAACACTGTCACTAAGTAACTAAGTAGAAAACCAGCGGAGTGATACACCTCCGGTTTTTAGATAAATAGCTGTATATGTTTACAAAATGTACAATTTATATTTGCAATTCAAGTTATAAAAATTTACTCAACATATCTGTGGGGTTTTTTTTACAGTAAAAAATACTACTAGGATTTTAAGTTCTTTGTGTGATTTCAGACCAGTAATAGTACTATTAATAGTAATAGTAGTACTAATGCGGTACGTCAGTGAAAAACAACTAAATTCAGTTGAGCTGAAAAGATACCAAACAAGGCAAGGGGGAAAAAATAAAATGAAACAATCTGAGGGTGAAATACAAACGGTTGTATTTCAGACCTCAGTGGGTTAATCCAACAAATTATGAAAAATTAGGTTAATTTTTGTTCATGACAGTGCAGATTTCTGACATTTTGTGTAATTTAAGCTGTAACAATGTGATTATTTTCTAACAAAAAACAGTGTGAAACTTAGTTTGACTTGTTTTTGTAAACGAACCGCCCAATGTTGTGTAGCTTTCTGGATTTTATACTTATTGGGCTACATATTTATTTATTATACAGGCTATACAGTACATAACATCAAAACT